TCGCATAGCTACTCAACAGTGGAGCAGGGCTCATTGATCTGTCTGATAGTTCATTCATAAATATGAATGTGTTTCTAATCTTTTACCCAGAAAGTGTATATCTAGAAATAAAAAAAAAAATTAATACCAGGTACAGAAGAAGTTTATGCATAAGCATATTCCTCTCCATTATTTGTAGTATATGGAAAAATCTAAATACCTCAAAATAATGAAGCGAATCATATTATGTTCACACATTAGGATAGTATAGAGTTATTAAAATTATATTCATTGATAGATTTTATGGATTATTATGGTAAGTAGTAAGAAGCATAGAAAATGTTATGTATAGTATGAGCTCTGTTATGCTAAAAACATGTGAAAGTTGAAAAAAGAAAAAAAAAACAAACACCCTACCAAATGTTTAAAAGTTGATTTCTGAACTGTGACATTCTAGACGAATTTCGTTGTTGTCTGCTTTGAGCATTTATGTTGTTTCAAAAGCAAGGAAGGAAGAAAGCATTTCAAAAGCTGCTCTGTGTAATAAGCACAAAGCAAAGAAGCTCAGACAGATGGTGCAGGCACCCAGCTGTATGGCATGCCTATTAAAGCCCCTCCAGGGCTCAGCAAATGGAACATGCCAGAAGGAACAGAGCAGTGCTCAGGGGCATGGGTTGGGTAGCCAGACAGACCCGAGTTCAAGGATCACATTTACTTAACCTCTCACCTTCTAATTTTCTCATTCCTATGAAGTCATTCTGCTTGGGGTTTGTTAAATGTTCCACAAAAGCCTACGTGCAAGGCCCCTCGCCTAGTTCCTGCTGTATTCCAAGCACTGAGCTACTATTTCAATAATTGTTACCAGTTAAGCTCTTAAAATTTGGCCATTATATTTCTAGAGACAAATGTGAATTCAGCGTAAGGTTTTTAGGTATAAATAACAACTAAACATATGTCCACATAAAGAGTACAACTGATCAGAATATATACATTTAAGCTAGAACATTTTCATTTATTTCCAAATAAATTATTAGAGAGGCCCTAAACAATGAATAATTCACTGTAGTGGAAAATTTCATCTCATATATAGTTGTTGCTCAAATAATAAGAAAGAGCAAGATAACCATACTTCAGACATCTAAACTCCCCTGCGTGATGGAGATGAGGTCTCCCATGTTCTTAAGGCTTTGAGGATATTTAAAATTCTGTATGCAGGACATTTCCATGTCAGTCATCATTAAAGCATGTGAATTCCACCGAAATCTCAATCTAGGAAACTGAAAACAAACAAACAAACAAACAAACAAAAAAAACTCGCTTTGAGCATTAGCTGCCATCCACTCCCAAGTTTCCTTTTGACTTTTATCCTCATTCTAGTTAATAAAACATGAAACCCTTCCTATTCTCTTGATCAGTGATAGACCAGAAGTCTTTGATTAATGCACAGGTATTTCACATATTTTATACGCTTATGCAAGTTGTTTTCAAGAAGAGAAAAGGTATATTTATATTGCTCTAGTCCCCTACAATGACATGCTCTCCACTCCAGGACTGGAGAGCATGCAGGAGTCCTGTCTGCTCCCCACGCTGCCAATGGCCCACAGCATGAGCCTCCTGGACGTGGAAGGTGTTAGCTAGGCCCAGCTCACATTCAGTGAGGGATGTCAACACGGCTGCAAGGAATTCTGTATCAGAGTTTTGGAAGGGACCTCTTACTTAGTCAATGTTATTAAAGATCAACCTACAATCTATTTGTCAAGAATGAGGGAAGACAAACTAGAATTAAAGTCAAATTTTTCTTAAAATGAAGAAGGAGTAACTAAGTTACTAGCATCTCTAATTAAATAGTCTGCATGTTATTTCATATTCTGTTTCCTAGCGGTGGGTAGGCAGGGGAAGAGTGGGTCGTGGAGACTCTGAAGTAGTCAACACTCGAACTTCAAAATTTCAGCTTCATAACAATTGTTATTTTGTGGGGGAGATCCATGGTTTTTGCTACATTTTATCATGTTACCTCAAATCCTGTCCAAGATTCTTCATTAAGTTATGACCCAAACTGCATCCACACATACCCACACACTGTGGACTATGTGCCCCGTCCATGTCCTCCTGCTATCCCCAGGACTTCCACCTTAGTTCAGGTACTCTTTATCTGTCACTCAAACACAGACACTCACCAGACAGCTCCACTCACAGTCTCTGATCTTTTCCCTTTAAAGCTTCCTCCACATTAACCAATGAGCAATCTCTGTAACAACATGTTTAGCCACATTATGCTACTCTTCATTCACAATGAAGTGCAGCACCTGGTGTGGTGCAGACGCTGGTCCCTGACCCCTCTCCACATCATTCTTTTACTATGCCCTCCTTATACGCTGGAGCAGAGCTTTCATATCCTATCCATCCTAGACCTTCCCGAAGAGTGTCTAAGAGTCTAGGGCAATGCCCAAACACAGAAAATGCTCAATAAATGTAATTTGAATTGGTGAATTAGTACACGAATAAGAAAAACATTAAGTATCTACACAGATGTTTGTGGACATAAATATGCCTATTTGAATAATTTATAGATAATTGAGAAGCATGGTAATACTTCCTGTAATTCTCCACTTTTTGGCCAATACATTTATTTTTTTTTCCAGTGCTTTGACTATTTTCTTAATCACCGCATGTAAATTCTCCTTAACACTCCCCCCTGAATTTTCAGGATAATTACTTTCTGAGATTTATTACTCAGTCCATGGAGACAGGCCTGCTCTAAGTGCTTGGTAGTCTGTGAGCAAGAATCATGGACGTAGCTCCTTCCCCTCTTATGAGCAGTGAACACCTGACTCACATATCTGCAACCTGTATCTCTATCAAGTAAAAAACCAAGTGGGATCCAACACATTAACTGTAGATGCTCATCTCTAACACTTTACCCAAGTAGCAAACACACACACACGCACACACTGCACGCATCACTGACATGCACATAAGAAAGACAATCAGAGAAGTTTTAAGGAGTCTTCTCTTTTATTATGTGAGTTTAAATAGAATTCCTGAGCCTGACTCGTCAGAAGTTTCACTGAACTTCATGAGGATGTCATAGTGAAGATGTGAATCTGTCTCATGCCACCCTCTAAACACCAGGGTTTCTCCCAGGACACCTCTCTGAGGATCGGCTGTCACTTCTGACTTCCTTTAATTCCTAGATCTTTTATCTAATCTCAAGTTCTACATAGAGAGGCCTCAGAACACGTCTCGCCACAGGGTGGAGGTTGAT